TACACAGGGTCAGCTTCTAACCAAGGGATCATAACATGTGACAGGAATTTAAGACTTCAAGTTAAAACAGATTTGACTGCGACAGACTCCTGGTTGTTAACTCATCATGGCAGTTTAAAGAGGGTTTGCAGTATTTTCTGTTTGTATTTTAATATCCCTTGTACAAAGAGCTGTGGGCTGATAAGAAGCCCTGGTAATGGCAGAGGTTAAATTGGAGATTTCTTATTTACAGTGGTGTGTGTCTGTTACATTCACGTGACTCTTCGGCATACATATAAACACACACACACACACACACACACACACACACACACACACACACACACAGGAGATAAGGAGATAAGGAAGGTGGGTGTCTGAGAAGTTATAGGTCCTCCTTTTTTGTCTGCCTGTTTGACCGCAATTGTGAGAAAGTCTGAATTTAGTGAATGTGAGTAAATGTATGGAGGGTTCGTTCTGAACAATGGTGTTTATTTGTGTGTGTGTGTGTGTGTGTGTGTGTGTGAGAGAGAGAGAGAGAGACACACACACACACACACACACACAGAGAGAACGTTTGAAGGAAGAACAGATAAGTATCGGTAGAAGATGTAGAGCTATAGCCAGTCTTGGTGTGGCGCCTGAAAGGGCCCTCTGTGGTTTCTACTGTTTTCCTCCTCTCATCAAATCAGATTTGCTACACAAGCAGAAAGCAAGGAATGAAAGCACAGCAGTGCTCACACACACGGAAAATGTCAAGAAATTTCAACACAAACGACAAACGACCTGGGGTGATTGCTAAGTAAAAGGTAAAAAGTATGATGAGAAATAAAATTCAATCATGATTAAAAATGATCAGGGTTTAGCACAGTTAATATGTTGAGCAGTGAATATGTTTAACAATTTCAATAAATTGCAGTGATGTGTTTGAGGCAAGTGTGAAGACTGACTCCCCTTCATCAGTCAGTCACAGAAATGTGTCTTTGTCCCTAAAATACATGAATATAATTTTGTTTGTTTTATTGTAAGCAAGGAGGGATTTTCTATGAAACTTTGTGGGCCTGGGAAAAAAAACATTCAATTCTGGTGCAGATCCAGATCAAGGGTCGGATCCAGGAATTTTTTATTAATTCCATTCAAATTGTCAGACATATTTGTGAAATTCTAAAGATACAATGCAGAGATCTTGTTGAAAAAAATCAGGCATGTGTAGAACGCTTATATCTAGAAATAGGTGAAATTTCATGTGATCTGAAGGATGATACTGGTTATGGTTATTTTTGAGGGAGTGATCTTAATTCAGTTATGTATGATCACAAATATTCCTTCCAGCGATGTAAGAGAATGGAGATTATGCCTGTGTTTAATGTAAACAGTTTGGAGAGCATTTGTGTACATGATAGATCTGTTCTTAATATACAATATGGTGATCAAGTGGCCAGTCAGCCGTGAGCCCTTCTAGTTTTTAAGGTATTTACTTGTATCTGATGACATAATAAATGCACCCATGCTTACAAAATTAAAGCTGTTGACTCTTGTGCTTCTATCAATCGAAATTATTCAGGTTGAAGTCACCTGCAGCAAAACCTGGGTCACTGTTATATAATAATGTTATAATATTAAAGGTGATCTCTGTGCATAATAGAAAAAACAGTTATGGTCAGAGGCTAATGGTGAAAACAGGATCTCATGACATCACCAACATCTGCATCTGTACAGATTTAACACACATTTAGCAACACACAGTCAAACACACACACACACACACAAAGTGAGATTGTATGACCCTGGTGACTAAAGTGAGACAAACATCAACTCATCAGTCAAAATCTCGCTAACGTCTCAAGCCTCTGACATCTACACTGACTGCTGAAGTGACAGTTGCTCGATACATAACAACAGTGAAGATCAGTGAACCCAGAGAGTAGGCCCACAACTTTGCCTGAATATAAAACATTATGCATCCCACTCTAAACACATATTAATGTAAATTCATTACAACCATCATACCAATACTACTAGTTTTATTAAATTAATGTTGTTGGGA